TTCTAATTCATTTTGGATTACTAAGAATAATAAACATGATTTTCAAATAGTTATCAAATTATTCCGTCATTTAATAAAAGAAAACAAGAACTATTTCAAATGAACCTTATTTAGCTGAACTAGATGTGGTGGGTTTGTTTAAAGTTTTGTTTATGATGCTTATTAATCAAATAATAATAAAATATTCCGAATGTGACAAATTACCAAAATACCCCTAAAGTTCCACTTAATTACGAAACTGTAATTAAAGAAAATCTACAACCAGATTTGGTTCCAGAACCATCAACAGAAGAAAATCAATCGTATATTCAAATCTAATTGTTGGATTGAGCTGTTGTTTGGATATATTTAACGGTTTAAGTTGAAAACCAATGTCGGTAGCACCTTCATCGTTTTAGATATTTTTTACTTAATTTTAGATAAATAAAAAACGAGAAAATGCACCACAATTCTAGAACAATCAATGACTGTGCAAGCTTGATCTATAAATACGAAGTTATGGATAATATTTCAAGACAAGAATCGAGTGATGATTCCTAAAATTCGAGTTTGAAGCTTTTAGATTATAGAATTTTCTTCCTCAGATTTCTTCTTCGAGGGTTATGGTTAATCATTTTCCATCCTACCAACTTTTACACATTCCATATGGGATTTCCAACAAGTTTCGTGAAGGAATAAGGAAATAAAAAGCTCTAGAATCTGTTGTCTCGAAAAACGGTGAGAAACATGTTTTCTGGCGAACTTTGGAAGGTTATAACTCAAGTTACAGACCATGACAAGGTATGAAATTGCCCCTACTTCTTCCTTAAAACTTTATCTAAACGTTTCGTGGAGAAATTTAGCCCATTAGAGGTGTATATAGAGCGGTACAAAGGAAAAACCTGAGGAATATGATAAGGAAAAATTGTGATTTTTCCAGCCACCCATGAAGAAGATGAAGAACAAAGTCAAAGGTAAAACTTTGAACAATAAAAGTCAAAGGTAGCCATATGTTGACCTTTCTACACTTTTTGATCAATTTGGATCCCTTTCACATCAGTTTTCATTAATTTATTTATGGTTACTGAAACTAGACTCAAAGATGAATCTAGTAAAGATAATTTTGAATAATTCGAAAACCGAAAGCTCAAGAACGGAAGTCCTGAACACAAATGAAGAGGTAAGTAGCCACCTTGGACTTTTCTTAAAAAATACTTGTTGGAATATCTTGGATTTCTACATGAACCCTAAACCATGTATGGCTTAAGGATATATAAAAGAAAAACTCAAAGAACCCTGAGTTAAAGCCCTAAACAGATCAAATTTCTCGGGATTTATGTAACATTAAAATAACAAACTAGATGAACTTCGCTGCCTATGAAATTTTAATGCTGAGCATATTATAGTATATGGAGGTTATATATGAAATTTGGTGGACATTGGATAAGGATAAGAGGTAAACCAAGAAATGGTGCAAAATGACCATATTTCCCCTAAGGATGTCTACCTACGGTTCATGACCTAGAAACCAAGAAATGGTGCAAAATGACCATATTTCCCCTAAGGATGTCTACCTACGGTTCATGACCTAGAAGACCTCCATATGCTATTAAATTTCGTGATAGACCTTATCATATGATGTCTGATGATGTGGAAAAGTTTGAAAGCCATTGAAACACGTTAAGTAGCAAAACCAAGAATTAGGGGTAAAATGACTAAAAAAAAGTTTGAAAGCCATTGAAACACGTTAAGTAGCAAAACCAAGAATTAGGGGTAAAATGACTAAAATGACGAAAATGCCCCTATGACTACTTATTTAAATTCAAGGTCTATATGTCCAACAAATGACTTGCTACTTCTTATAAGGCCCATTTCTAAGGACAACAAGGTTATTCAAGA